CTCACTGAATCTTCCCCACTGGAATGACATCAAATTAGGTCTTTCCTTTGCCTCCCCACTCTATCTTTCCACACTTTATCGCTCACAGGGATTCTAAAATCTGCCTCAGTGTTGCCACGCATCATTCACTGACAATCTGTATTTTGCTTCCATTCGAAGAGTGGAAAAGCCTGTGTCAATTTATCTCGTAAAGCTTCTCCTTGCTGAATGCACATGTGTCTATTACTGTTGACTTTGGATGGACCAGCATGTGGGGAGGTCCATCTCTCACGATCCTAGTTAATGTGGGCTGTGACTGCCCAAGGCTGCTGCTCATTAGCAGCTACTTCTCATTATTTCTCCAGTTCGGACCTGAGATGAAACCGAAAGAGCTTCTTATGAAGACTCTCCTGAGATGGCTGCCAGGCTGAGCACCCGAGCCTGGGACACGGAACAGACGGGCAACTTGCAGGGGTACCAGGTGGAAAATAGATACCGAGTCCTTGTATTCTAGGATGTGCTTTTCCTCTTTATGTCCCGATGTTTCTGGAATTGGGGTGTGTCTTACAATCTAGGCATGTACACTGAACATTGTGCTTTTATTCCCCTCCCCCTGAAAAGCTGTGATTAAATGGTGGTACATTTTAAAACAGAAATGTGGCACTTTCAAATTTTAAAAAAGTTGCCCAAACAGAAAAATTTATCAAAGCAGGCTTAGCAGTATAAAGTGGGCAGATGCAACAATTCTTGAGGGCAGAAGCTAGGCTGATGGTCACACATCTTAACAGTCATTGGCTTGCTGTCCTAGTTTGGGCAGAGTTCTCATCAGATGGGGTCTGGCAACTTCTCCTGGCAATAATCCTGCCATAGCATAAACCCCACGGTGTGTCCCAACTGCTTGTTAAAGAAAGAAATTCCTGGACATGATCTCTCTTTATTTAATAACTTCCATTTTTCATCCAGTTTTTTGAAAGATGAAAACTATGTTTGCGAACAAAAGCAGTAATGCAAACAGACAAACTTTTGTTTCCTTGTGGTAAATTCAGCTGCTTACTAATTAATGAGTTAATCCGGCAAGTATTTTCTGAGCAATACTCTGTGCTTGGCCCATGATGGTCACTTTACAAATGCTGTTTACAATATGTCTAGGCAACTCTCTGAGGCAGATCTTATAAAGCAGCCCCATTTCTAAGATCGAAAAAACAGGCTCAGGGAAGAAGAGTTGACTCCCTCCAGTTCATCTAGTTGGGAACTTGCATTGGACAGCAGATACAGGTGCCTCAGGTCCACTCAGGGACTCCACACTACCCAACACCCCTTCACCATGCTCTCTTTCCCTGGAGAAGAAACACAAGGGCTGAGGTATGAGAAGGCAGCAGAGAGAGAGGGATAGAGACAGAGATATATAGAGGGATAGAGCTGGACCTTGGATGCCCAGTGCAAAGCTCCTTTTACTATTCGATGTCAAGGCTTTGGGAGAGCCTCAAGCCAGGGGAGAAAGGGAAAAGGCAGCCAAGGCTTTCTTACGTGATTCTGGCTTTGCTTTTATGTTCATTAAATCCAACAAAGCCTCAGGCACTACCCCGGGGTCACCACTTCCCGTGGGAACAGTCTAGACAGGGGATCCACAGCAAGATTTTCTTACTGTCATTTACCTGAAGCTAAAATCCCAATCCATATCTGGGATTATCTGATGGGTGCATGGAAGGGTCACTTTCCCATGGAGTCCTAGCAGAGGCACAAACCTGTCCTGGGCTCCTGGAAGGATTTCTCCACGCTGAGATTAGGTGTAATTACTCATGTCTTTTGTCTCCCTTGCACCAGTGTGAGAGGAAAGGTTTTTAATCTGGGAGCCATTACCACAGCAGAGGAGGAGGTCACCTGGATTAACAGCTACTGGATTCTCTCCCCTTTGTTCTGAGGATAATAGGACGGGACAATGAAAAATCACTCCCTAGCTTCTGGGAGACATTATACAGGTCTCTGCCTGGTGTGTTTTGCAAATGAGGTGGCAGGACAGAGAAAAACCAAGAGGGAGTCTTTCTTGGTCTTGGACAGCCACTGTAGTGGCTTGCTCCCCTGGTCACCATCCTCCAAAGAGGTCTTCACCTCTGGGTCTCAAAGGCCCCAGGCTCTGGTCGACTTACCTTGCAACAGAGTGTAGAAGGCACCCGAGGCAGACAGGTTGGTGGTTATGGTGACATCATCCTTGCTGGAGGTCTCTACCTGCACGTGTACTGAGCTGTCTGTATCGCTTCGGAAACTGCTCACCTGGCCAGTTGGAAAGGTCACATTTGTCAGGCGACCAAAGCTGTCATACCTAGAAACCAAAGGGGTGGCCCTTAGTGACAGAAGTATGATGGTGCATGTCATGGTTAGCTTCAGCTGTCAAACAGACACAGAGTCACCCAGGAAGATGAAACCTTGATAAAAGAATTGCCTTGATCAGACTGGCCCGTGATCAGGTCTATGGGAGCATTTTCTTAATTGCTAACTGAGGTAGGGGGGCCTCTGCGGGTGGTGCCATTCCCTAGGCAGGTGGGCATGAGCTGCATAAGAAAGCTAGCTGTGCTACCCAGAGGGATCCAGCTAGTAAGAAGCAATCCTCCATGGTGTCTGCTTGAGTTCCCACCTCCAGGTTTCTGCCCTGACTTCCTTCCCTCAGTGATGGGCTGTGATATGGATGTGTAAACCAATCAAACCTATTCCTCTTCCAAGTGAGTTTTGATCCTTGTTGCTGGACCACAAAGCAGAACAGTGCGACAGCTGGGCTCGGGCTGTGGCTTTGCACGCTCTGCCTTTTCTTTCCAGTCAGATCTACTCCCCAGTCTCCAACTTCTCCTTCTCCAGGGTTTGACATAGTTTCCTTGATGTGACTTTACCTGCTGATAGCTAGCAGGAAAATGGATCACTTATCTGAACCTTTCTTAGTCTACATGGCAGGAAAGATATCCTTGCCATGCCGGCAGCCCAGCATGGAAAGGGCGTTGCTCTTCTAGAATGTTTTGGAAGACTGGTGTACAAGTTGGTTCCCTCTTGGGACTATGAGTGCTCCAGGTCAAGACAGCTCTATGGAGTCAGAACACTAGGCTGAGAGTCTGGACTCACACCACCTGGCTTCTATCACCTTCTACCATGGTGATCCAGGGGTGCTGACTCCCAACTTCATCCCTGCTTCAGCATCATTTGGGGCAGACATCAAGAAAACAGCCAGAAATGAACAAATAAATGGACGCAGAAGTGAGCATGGGGAGAAAGAGACCATAGCTCATTCACACACTGCCTCCTGCAGCACTTGGCAGACCTGGGCACACAGTAGGTGCACGATAAACTGCTGAAAGCACAAATCTACAGGCAACCACTCTCATTAAATGATACTTTAACAATCTCCCCAGGCTTCTCCCCAGAGTGTTCGTCTCCAAACAGAAAGAGGCTTTGTATCAAGGCAGACAATTGTAATTATTATGGAAGGTGGCTTGTACTGCATAATTAAATCGAGCCAGAGGAAGATACAATGAAAAGGCCCTGTGCCTTCAAGATCTGGTTTTCATTTTACATGCGACAGCCCAAACCCAGTAATTTCCACTCTTCACATATTCCATTAGAAGGACTGAATGTCTTAATTAAATGAACATCAAATGGAACAGCCAATTTATAAATTTTTGTCTCCTATTCATTAATTTCAGTATCTCCCAGAGCTGGAGAAATGCCGATGGATCTTCCAGCCTCCTGATCAATACCTGTGGTTATCCCATCAGAGCACTGTTCCTTTCCCTCTGTGGGGAGAGCTGGAGCCTCCCATTCATCCTCCGGGCCCTGAGCCCTCTGCCCTTTGGGCTGCCTCTGCAGAGCCCCCACAGACCTTCTGAGAGCTCCTGAAGCAGGGTAGAGGGATCAGGGAAAGACAGTTCTCTGAGTAATTTAGGTTCCAGGTGCCTGCTTTGAGCCCTGGGTCTGTTTGGGTGATGTTGGGACATTGTCTTAATTCCGATTATCAGGGCTTTTTTTGTTTGTTGATTTGGTATGTATTTTGAGACAGTGCCTAGTGTAGTCTAGGCTGACTTTGAGCTAACTGTGCAGCTGAGAATCCTTCTGCTTCTACCTCATGGGTGATGGGATGACAGACATGCTTTCTACTACAAAAACTCCCAAATCACTGATGTGTCTTCTTCCAAACCAGGAGAGATGGCATAGTCTGGCTTGGGGGTCTCATCATCTCTATCCTCGACAGAGGTGAGCCTGGAGGGCAACACTCAGCTCTGTTCCCTCCTAACCTTTAGGTCTCACCACAACCAGTGGTAATGCAGTCAGGCTCATGGCATAACCTTGGCAGCTACGCTTCCTCCTCCATGAGGGAGAAAAATACACAGTGAGGACCAAAAAAGGTGACGCATTTCCTGTGGATGCGAACTTCTTACTAGGGCCTTCAGTATCCTAGGAGACTGTCCTCAGTGGAATGTTGGCTCCTAAAGGGAGGGATTCGACTGGTCATGGCTGGATGCCTGGAACTGGGAGTGCTTAGGAATGGGAATGAGGGTTGGTGAGCTGTACCACCTGACTCCTTCCTCTTTCTCTTTCTGCCTTTGCATAGAAAATCGCTCTTCTCAACTACGTTGGATTCACTATGCTTCTGTCCCAAACATGCTATGCCCAAGTGTTATGCTGGGGTGCTGCTCCTTTTGTAGAGATTGATTTCTTCCTTTTCATACTGACACAGTCAGTTCCCTTTATATTGCGTTTCAGTTCAAATACCCTAACTTCACAGTGAGGTTGTCCTTGACTGTATCTAAAACAGACCCCCTCATCTCTACCACATTATAGTTCTGCATTGTATCTATATTCACTGTCTTATTTACCTGCCTCTTCATATTGGAATGTAAGATTCATGAGGACGAGGACTGTGTCGGTATTCTCAATGTTTAGAAGAGACTGAGCATGAAGGTACTGCTCTGTGGTGTTCACTGACTGAATAAGAGAATGCTAGCTGTTTTTGTTGATCTTTTTGGTCTGACTGAAAAGAATCATATGTTTTAGATCCCCTTCTATATGGAGAAAGAAGAGCTTACTAATGTTCAGAGCGCTTTTCAGGTATCAAGCATCATGTTTATCAGCATCTTTCAGGGTAGGGATTATTACTGTCACTTTACAAATGGCAATGATGGAGGTCAGAGAGGATGATCAACTTGCCTAAAATGACAGCTCATAGAAGACTACATATTCAAAATCAGGTCTGCTTGACCGTAAAGATTGTGGTTTTTGACCAAACTTTCCATAAAAACGACGCTATTTCAGATAAAGAAAAAAACCTTTGTGCTCATCTCTGTTTTAAAGGGGGGAAAATCCTGTTTGGAAGTCTCAAGTGGGTCAGGAAGACTGACAGTTTTCAAGATGTTCTGCTTGGCTCCGGCTGCGGCTCACTTTGCTGCAGAGCCAGGTCCCCATTGGGGAGGGGGAGGTAAAGATGGCCAGGTGATTGGCTTGCCACCATATCTTTCCACTGACTTTTTTTTTTCCACACCAGTTTTCCGAAGCATCTTTACAGTACAGTGAAAGAAAACACATAAAAGATTCATGGAGCTGCCGTGAACTTGGCTTTCAGAAGAGGACCGCTAAAGGGTACCTTCACACGCGCTGCAAGGCTTTCTTCACACTGCATACTTCATTGCTAGCCACTCACTATGAGCAGCGAGGGAGGAAAATGCCAATTTGCCTCTGTGATATACAACTTCTGCTGCTCTTGACTTTTCGGTTGGATAACAAAGATGTGATTTTTAAGACTTACATCTGTAATTATTCTAAATACCAATGTCACCAGCCAAAGATCTGGTCACTATGTCGTTTGTAAATAATTAGAGTTCAAAGCCAGCTATCACGGTAGTTCCCTTGGCCTCTGGTCACTGTAGTGGATGACGTCACATTACCGGGCATTCCTCGGGCCAGGCTGAGCCAGAGTACTTTCTGGATTTTACAGTCATGACTTGTACTGAGTATTTACTGCAAGACTGAGTCCCAGCAATGAATTCTAGCATTCAGGATTACCAATATCTGTAAGATCTGCAGACCTTATCATAGGCTCACTGGCCCTGTTCCAAGGCCAGGTGTCTTGTGGGAGAGCACTGAGGAGTCACATCCAGCAGGGATAGGATCCTGGCTCTCCCTCTTACATGGACCATGCCACGGAGCCAGTCAGTGTCTATGCCAGCTGTGGTGCTTCCTCCTAGAGCTATTCCTTGCCATTCTTTGTTCTCTGAGAGGCCGGCACCTGTAGACTGCACACTGGGCACTCCGCTGGTTCGCTTCACTAGGTCAAGCCAGCGGTAGGCACTGGAAAGAGGTGAGATCAGGACATGGTTTCCTTCAGTTTCTCCCTTAGTCCTTTCACAGCCGCACCAACGGCAGCTTCTTTTAGGTCTTTTCCCACAGCTACGACTCCAGGGACTTGTCCTGAAGGCTGGAAATGGCCGTTCATTCTTCTTAGTGCCTGTGGGTCTCAACCCCTTTTGGTAATCCCTTATCCTTGCCTGTCCCTCTAGACGCCTTCATCCAAACGCCATTTTTGGAATCACATCTCCGAAAACAGATACTTGCTTTTATTTTTCTTTTTGCACTTCTGTCTTTTAGTTTGAATGGGTTCTGGTGAGAATTTGCTGTTGTTCTTATCATTTTTTCCTCTTATAAAATATCCCAGCCCCCACTTTTGGGCTGTTTTCAGAAGACTCCCCCTTTTAAACGATTTCGTATTTTGAATGTGATACTCTTAGAGGTTTCTGCCTGTGAAAGTATGTGTGTGTATGCATATTTTGCCTGGTACTCTGAGCATTTTTGGACTATGGCCCACTATTAATTATGAATACTTCTTGGTCATTATTTGCTCAAGTATCTCTTCTGTCTATTTTCTCTTTTCTAGACTTCTATGACATGTACATTTTGCCATTTGATATTCCCCCACAGCTCTTGAATGTCCCACTCTGTGGTTTATCTTTTTTTCTTTGTGTGTTAGTCTGGGCAATTTCTATTGACCTGACTTCTTTCCTTAGCTGTGTCACGCTGTCATCAAGAGCTGTGGGCCCATCAAAGGCGTTCTTTATCTCTGTGGCCATGTTTCTCATTTTTAGCGTTTCCATTTGATACTTTTTCTCCCACATTTCTGCTGAAATCGTCCATCTGCTCTTGCCCCGCTGCCCACCTTTTCCATTAGAGCTGTTAGTATAATTACAGTTGTTTTAAATGCCCTGAAAGGGATTTTCAACATCTGTGTCATACCTGAATGTGGGTCTGATGGCTACGCTTTTTGCTTTTTCTTGTCTTTTTGCACGGTCG